CTGTTTTTAAAAATAATTTGAATCTTATATAACAATTCTTCTGTAGCTTGCTTTTTTCATTCAAAAAGATGTTTTGAGATTGCCTTTGTTAATGTGTGTGGCTGTGGGTCATTCATTTTCACTTTATGAATTTATTATCATCTATTAATCCAATCAGTAATTAATGGTCATTTGGGTTGTGTTGAGGTTTAACTATTTTTTTTTTCAGAGTGAAGAATGATGCTCTATTATGAATATTCTTGTCTGTGAGTCTTGGTGCAAAAGTTCAAGACTTTTTCTCTAGATTACACAATTTAGAGTGAAATTTCTGGCTCATGTAATATGAGTATATCCAATTTTACTAGATAAAGTGAAATTCTTTTCCAAAATGTTTGACTCAATCTACATACCCATTAGCAATGTGTGAATGGTCATATTGCTCCTTATTCTCATCAATACTTTGTATTGCCAAACTTTAAAATTTTGCCAGTCTGGTAAATTTTAGCTAGTATTTTTTGTTGTTGTTTTAAGTTGCATTTTCCTGTTAATAATTAATAAATGAGATTGAGCATTGTTTTATGTATTGATGGGCCATTTATATTTTCTCTTCTGGGAAATACTTACTCATGTCTTTTGCAATTTTCCTATTGAATTTTTCTTTTTCTTATTCATTTGTAAGAGTTCTCTATATATCTTGGATTCTAATAATTTGTAACATAAATGTGTTGCAAAATTTTTTCTCAGTTCTTTGTTTAGCTTATTCTCTATTGCGTCTTTTGATAGTCATTTTTAATTTTTCTGCAGTCATACGTATCAAATTTTTTATGGTTTGTTTTTGTGTCTTAAGAAATTCTTCTCTATCCTATGGTCATAAAGATATTTGTCTACAGCCCCGGCTGGTTTGGCTCAGCGGTTAGAGCGTTGGCCTGTGGTCCGGAGAGACCTGGGTTTGGTTCCCGCTAAGGGCATGTACTTTGGTTGTGGTTTGTCCCCGGCCCTGGTTGGGTCGTGTGGGTGGCAGCCACTCAATATGTCCCTTTTACACCGATGTTTCTCTCTCTCTCCCTCCCACTCTATCTGAACAAAAAATGAAAAATGTCCTCAGATGAGGATAAAAAAGAGATATTTTTCTACTTTTTCTTTCTTTCTGCATACACACACACACATTTAAATGTTTAATCCACCAGAAATTGATATGTTTGTATATTATTCAATGTCCTCGCCCCCCAACCCCGCAATGGATAACCAAGTGTTTCAGTTCCACATCCACATTGTTGAGTAGCACATCTTTCCCACTGCTCTGCAGTGCCCTCTTTCATAAATCAAATGTCCACACATGTGTGGGTCTGTTTCTGGGCTCTCTGTTCTGTAGTGGTGGTTTAGCTGTGTACCAATGGCACACTATTGTCATTACTATTATATCTGATAGAGTGAGTCTCTGCACCTTGTTGTTCTTCAGGAATGTTTGATTGTTCTCTCATATAAACTTTAGAACAAGTTTTGCAGGTCCCACAAAAATTTTTTGCAAGTATTTTAAGAGTTGTAATAAATTTACAGATGAATTGGGGGGGTTAACTTCTTTTTCATTTTGAGTTTTCTAATCTATAAATATAGTAAATTTTTCATTGATTAATGTGTTCCAATAAAGTTTTCTAAACATGAAAAGTACACCTAAACTACAGAACAAACATCCTTCAGAACTGCCTGAACTCGAGCTGAATGGAAGCCCTAATACTACAAAATTAAAGAAGCCACATCCAGACTGGTTGGGGAGGCGGAAGTGTGCGGATGAGCTGGTCCCACACCCACATGTGGCGGATAAAAATCAGGAGGGATAACTCAGCTGTGAAGGTCTTCCCTGAGGATTGAGGGGTCCCTGTCCCACACCAGGCCCCCAACTCAGGGATCCAGTGCCAGAAAGAGAAGTCCCCATAACTTCTGGCTGTAAAAACCAGTGGGGCTTGAGTTTGAGGGAAGTTGAGGCTGCTGGAGCCCCAGGCAATTCCTCTTAAAGGGCTTGTGCACCCACTTACTCCCTCTGAGCTTAGAGAATAGACAGCTTGAAAGGCAGCTGGGGAAGAACTGAGTTATTTGGCCTCAGGACAAGGGCTGGACAGGCAGCTTTCTCTGGGAAAGATATGCTGGTGGAGGCCTTTGTACCTTTGGTTAGCCCTTTCCCCCATGGGGCCGGCATACAGGCACCATATCAGGGACTCCAGCAACCTGGCTCACACTATTTGCTGCACTCTGGTGATTCCCTGAGGCCCTGCCCCACCCAGCTTTTGGGCCCATCCAAGCTGTTCCAGTGGCTTTACCATATGATTGGCCTGCTTCAGATTTCCCTAAATTCTCTCAAAAAAGCAGCATCTGGCCTCAGCAAGCCCCAAAACTCTAGCTAATTGGCCCCAGGCCTGGCACTAGAAGCAACCAGCCTTGGTTCACAGTTTGGCTTTTTCTGTGCACCTCCAAGCCCAGCACAAGAAGCAGCCATCTGCAGATTACTTTGTAGCTTATGCCTGTTTGCCCTGGGTAGAACACAGACAGTGGCTGACCTTGTCCCAGAGCCAGCACACCTAGTGGACAGCTTCAGACCATGTCAAAGCACCAATACCCAACCACCTCCACCAATGACACAATCAATGAGTGGACTCGGTGGGTACCAGAACCCTGCTGAAGTAAGTCTTGCTCTGTGTGGTGGGTCCCTGCACAGATGATCATCATAGGTAGTCAGAAGTCAGTGGTCAGTGGGCACAGCCAATCCTTGCAGCTGATCATCCTGAGTAAATCCCTCCCATCGATGTGCCAATAGCAATCAATACTCAACTACATCAGAAGGGTATACAGTCCACAGGAGGGGTGCACCTCAAGGGCCCAGCAGGGTGACCAGGGAGTCTATGCCACTAGACCCTACAGGATACCTGCTACAACAGGCCTCCCTAGGAACACATGGCAACTCTACCTAATACATAGAAACAAACATAGGGAGGCAACTAAAATGAGGAGACAAAGAAACATGTCCCAAATGAAAGAACAAAACAAAACTCCAGGAAAAGAACGAAATGAAATGAAGATAAGCAATCTAACAGATGCAGAGTTCAAAACACTAATGAGGATGCTCAATGAACTTAGTGAGAATTTCAAGGAACTTAGTGAGAACCTCAAGAGCATAAAAAAGGACCAGTCAGAAAGGAAAGATGCACTAACTGAAATAAAGAATAATTTACAGGGAATCAATAGTAGAGTAGGTAAAGCCAAGAAGCATACCATCAATTTGAAATATAAGGAAGCAAAAAACACCCAATTGTAACAGCAAAAAAACAAAAAGAATTTTTTAAAATGAGGATAGTTTAAGGAGTCTCTGGGACAAGTTCAAACGTACCAACATTCACATCATGGGGGTGCCAGAAGCAGAAGAGAGAGAGCAAGAAATTGAAAACCTATTTAATAATGACAGAAAACTTCCCTAACTTGGTGAAGGAAACAGACATACAAATCTAGGAAGCACAGACCACACCAAGACACATCATCATCAAAACGCAAAAAGTTAAAGACAAAGAGAGTCTTAAAAGCAGCAAGAGAAAAGCAGTTAGTGACCTACAACAGAGCTTCCATAAGACTGTCAGCCTATTTCTCAAAAAAAAAACTTTGAGGCCAGAAGGGAGTAGCAAGAAATATTTAAAGTGATGAAAAGCCAGGACCTACAACCAAGATTACTCTATCCTGCAAAGCTATCATTTAGAATTGATGGCCATATAAAGATTTTCCCAGACAAGAAAAAGCTAAGGAAGTGCATCACCACCAAACCAGTATTATATATAAATGGTGACAGGTCTTCTTGAAGAACAAAAATATGAACAATAAAATGTCAATAAATACATATCTATCAATAATTGAATCTACAAACAAAACGAGCAAGCAGAACAGAAACAGACTCATAGATACAGAGAACTTTTTGTTGGGTGCCAGATGAGAGGGTGTTTGGGTGAAAAAGATGAAGGGATTAAGAAGTACAAATTGGTTGTTAGAGTGATGAACCTCAAAGGGAAGGGGTAAGGTGAGAGGGGAAGAAAGAAACCAAAGAACTTGCATGCATATATGCATAACCAATAGATACAGACAATAGTGTGAGGAAGGCAAGAGGAGGGGGCGGGAGTGGGGAAGAGAGGATCAAGGGAAGAAAAAGGAGTGACATCTGTAATACATTTAACAATAAAGCTAAGTTTTTAAAAATACAATAAAAAGTGTTCTAATTTAATCCATAAACAGCTTGCTCAGTATTTTTAAAATTTTATTTCAAAGTATTTTGAATTTTGAGTGCAGTTTTAGGTCATTTTTTTATTAGACTTCAAATTTTTCTTATTGTTACTGATATATAGAAATGCAATTGACACACACAGATTGTCTATACAACCTTGCTAAACTCTCTTAATTCTAATAAGTTATCTATATATTCTTTTGAGTTTTCTACATAGACAATCATGTTAACCATAAATGATGAGAGTTTTGTATTTTCTGTTATAAATCTTTATTTCTTTTTTGTCTTATCATAGCTACAAGGAAGCCAGTTTAATGTTGACTCCACAAGTGAATTCAGTTTGTGAAAATTTATCTAGCTGTGACCTTATAATTTATACATTTTTTCTAACACAATGTTATATCTCAACAAAGAAGTTTTTAAAATTTTAGGAATCTTGGAGAACATTATGCTAAGTGAAATAAGCCAGTCAGAGAAAGACAAGTACCATATAATTTCACTCATATGTAGACTTTAATAAACAAATTGAACTACCAAGCAAAAGAGAGACAAATTCTTAGAGAGCAGGCAAACTGCTCTGGTGGGGAGGGGGGAGAGCTGATGCTGAGGGGTGGTGGAGGGATTGAGGGGGGAAAAAAAAAGAAAGACAGAGAGAGCTCATGGACAAGGACAACAATGTGGTGATTATGGGATGGGGGGAGGTGGAAGAGAGCATAAAGGGGCTATATGATGATGGAAAAATTAAAGTAAATTTGTAAAAATTTAGGAATAGGGCTTCTGTCTTGAGTGGCACATGTAGAGCAGCATGGTTGCTCTACATGCAGAATTGACATCAAGAGATTTCAGAAGCATAATTTTTTGGTACTTGGCAGCTGGTGATCCCTGGTTCTGGAACCCCAAAAATAAAATAAAAATTTAGGAATATTTCCCCAACATTTTAACCTTTTCTTATAACTGTAAGCTCTAACGATGCCACTGAGTAGTTTTGTACCTGTCTCTTTTCTACCTGACTATACATTACTGGAGAAAACATGTCTTAAGTGAGAACACCAGATAGATGCTTTCATGCATTTGAAGTACCAGGGAGAAGGGGCCCAGGCATAGTCTCAGCAATCCCTGAGGGCAAAATGGGAACAGGAGATGAAAATATGGGGAAATAGGTTTTCCATAAAGCAAAAGGAAAAGTTTTCTAACATCATGGTTGTTTAATCAGAAAATAGCCTGCTTTTTGAAAAAGTGAGCTTCCCAGTAGAGGACTATTCTAGCAAGACTGAATACACACCTACCAAGGGTAATATGCAGGGCCATCTTCTCTCTCCAGTAGTGGGTGGGGTCTTCTGTCCCTTCCAGCTCCAAGCTTTGAGGTTTATTTCTTATCCCAGTTGTAGGGGTTGCTCTATGAATTCCTCTCATAATATTTAGAAAACTAACTTTACAAATAGATAAAAGTCAACAAAGGCAAAACTAGTTCTTTGAAAATGTTAATAATATTGATAAACCCTTCTCAGGTCTGATCAAGAAATAGAAAAATAACACATTGGAATTCCTTTCTCTGAGAAACATTCAGCAAATATGTAGGTGCTCATCCAACAATCCTTGAGTAAAAGTGTAGTTATCCATGTTATTTTTCATCCCAGTCCCTAAACGTTGCATTTTTCGAGATGTCTACCTTTATATTTTCATTATTCTATAATCTTTTTAAATAACGAACAAAGTGACCCAGTCACACTGCTTTGAAATCCGGTAAAAGAAAAAAAGCTCTGTTAATAGGGTTGACATTTGTTTTGTTTTTGTTTTGTTTTTTTATTAATTAATTTTTGTTACAGATGTTTCTCCTTTCCCCCCCACTGATTCCCCCCTCCACCCCCTGCCCTGTCCCCAGTTTGTTGTCCATGTCCACTATTCATGCATACATGCATATAAGTTCTGTGGTTTTTCTCTCCCCCACCACCCCCTCTTCTGGGGATTGTCAGTCTGTACCCCACTTACACATCTCTGGGACTACCCCATTCCTCAGACTGTTATGTTCATTATATTCCACAAATAAGTGAGATCATATGATACTTGTCTTTCTCTGTTTGGCTTATTTCACTTAGGATGATACTTTCCAGGTTCCTCCATGTAGTCTCAAAGAATAATTAAGAGATCTTTCTTTCTTACAGCTGCGTAGCACTCCATTGTGTATATGTACCACAGCTTTTTTATCCATTCGTCTACTGATGGACACTTGGGCTGTTTCCAGATCTTAGCTATTGTAAATAGTGCTGCTATAAACGATATTTTTGTAAAATAGGGAATTTTGAACAAATTGACATTTTAAAGATTTTTGAGATGAGGAATAATTTTAATTTTGTAGTTTTCCTTTATTTATTTATTTATTTATTTTTTTAGCTTTATTCAAGGAAGCTTCTTCTTTTTAGCAAATCTCCAGTTTGGCAGATAAAAATACACCCGCGGAGTCTCCCAGAAGCTGCACCATTGGCCTCGTAGATTAGAAAGAAGCCTCGTTGCCTTACGCTGCTGTACAAATGTCTTCCTTCTCTACCCACCACCCGTCTCTCGCCCCCCGCCGCGGCTGCCCAGATCAAAGTTTTTTCTCATTCTGGGTTGTTCTCAGAGAAAATCTGGAATCCAGGCTGCGTTGAGACCAGAAAAGGCGACCTCTTGAGAGCACACCCGAAGGCATTGCGCGTCGCTGCCTCCGTAGTCGCCAGAGCTTCGTCCCCTCTACGTTTAGTCAGAGCAGGCCAGCGGAGCGTTGAAATCCGTTACCAGGCGGTTGTGTCCCCAAGGGCCATCCCAGGGCGGAAGAGTACGGGGGAAACCGCTGTGTACACTCTCCAGGCCTGTGGAGCCGCGTAGCGGCTCAGGTTACAGACAGGTGAGTCTGGCGGATGAGCTGGCTGAGGGCGCCAGGGAACCCCTGGCCAGACGCGCCCCCGCAGTCGGTGGAGCTGGCACACGCCTGAGCACCCCCTGGAGGGGTGCGCCAACCACAGCGGTGGAGGCAGTGCTCTGCTTCCCTGGATGCACCCGAGCAGAGGCCGTGGGAGGGTAGCGAGTCCCCCAACGCGGACTGGACTGGTGTATGAAACGTGGTATCTTTCTCTTTCTCCCACTCCCCTCCAGGTATAAAGGTAGACACGAAAAAACAAAACCAAAAATATATACAAACTCTCCAGCCACCTCCCAGTCGAGGTAGTAAGGGGATGTAGCCTTCTTTACTGGCTTCCTAAAAGGTCTTTTACTGCCCAGAATTTGGGGAGCGGGCGGTTAGGGGAGTCCATAATGGAAGTGAGAGAGGATAAGAAATTCGTTTTGAAGCTGCGTTTGCATAACATGCACTTGGCTTTTATTTACTTTGTGTTATAATTTGTGGTCACGGTGCTCTTGGGGTGCAAGGTCTTGTGGTGCAAGCAGCTTTGGTGGAGCAAGCCGACTTGTTTTTCTTTGTATGGCACGAAATAACAATGTATCCTAAAGATGCTGAATATTTAAATTTATTATTACTGTGTTTATTGGGGGGGACTGTTGTAGTTGATGAGAACTTAAACCCTCAAATTCCCCCTTTACCAGATCACAATCCTGAGGAGTCTCACCACAGCCTCCCCCTTCCGCCCTCCAAAATTTCAACAAACCCTGGGAACGATCCACAAGGTCCAGAGGAACTGAGCCATTTTCTGGCTTGCTTGTCGGAGACAAAAACTCGCGGGCGGGGGTGTGTGTGTGTGGGGGGGGTGCCGTTCCCAGGAGGCCCCAACTCTTGGGAGGGAAGCCCAGGGATGCGACCTAGGATTTACCTTAGAGTTTGCTCCGAGGTGCCTGTGATGGGGAGTGGTGTTGGGGGTTGATCAAAAAACGTTCTTTCCTTTTTAAAAAGGGGAGGGGGAAGAATCAGACGTTAAATTCTTTTGCAAACATTCATGCCTAAGGAAGGGCTGGAACAGGCAGCCCCGGCCGCCGGAACCGGTCGGACAGGTAGCGAGCTTGTTGACACCGTTATGTTGCAGGGCGCATGCTCACTCCAAGTTTCCTGGTGCCTTTTCTATTCCACCTTATGAAACTTTTCCTCGGCGTGGTCTCACCCGCGATTTAAGGCATAGGTGTCGACGAGACAGGAGGCTGGGAGACGCCAAAAGTGCGGGAGAGAGGCCGGGAACGCGCTGCAGCAGGGGGCGGAGGAAAAGGGCCGGCAAGGCGGGAAGGTGGGCTCTGGCCGCCAGAAGCCAGGGACCCAGCCATCGCCGCCGTCCCTAGCGGGGAGCAGCCAGGAAGAGGGGGCCGCCATCCGGGGAGGGGGGCCTACCATGCCCAAAGTCTTCCTGGTAAAGAGAAGGAGCCCGGGGGTCTCGGTCCGCAGCTGGGATGAGCTCCCGGACGAGGAAAGGGCAGACACCTACATCCCAGGTGAGCACGGCCCGGGGGCCGGGCCTGGGCGCGGGTCTCTTTGGGTAAGGGCAGGGGTGACCGGTTCCCCTCTGCTCATCAGCCGGGGCTGGACTCCCCACCCACTGCTTCCTTTTCCAGCGGGCAATAGGAGGTCTCAGAGGTGAGGGAAGACCGATAGTGAGAGACTGGGAAACCTGGGGCATCGCGCTCCCCCTTCCCCCTAGTGGGCGTCTTTAATTGCCCGGCGGCAGGACCGTTGGCTGCAGAGGGGGCCGAGGGGGCCCAGGAAAAGGGTGGGGTTGAAGGCCAGTAGGGGCTACCTCCAGTGCCACGTCTTCTCGGGTTGCACCAAGGATCCGTGATCTCCTCAGGGGCAGGGTTGGTAGATACCACCTCTCCACCCCCCACCCCAGGTAGAAGAAATTTGGCACTCGCGGTCCCTCAGTTCCTGGTGGGCGCGGGGACCGGGACCAGGGAGCGGCCCCCAGAACCCAAAGTTCTCTCCGGAGGCCGAGCAGGGGATTCACTCGCCCACCCCTTCGGCGTTGCCCACTTGGCGAGATGCCCAGGTCCGGGGCGGGGCGGCGGCGGCACCGCCCGCAGGTCAAACTACCGCAGGCGCCCAGGCCTGACGCCGCGTGTCTGTGTCCCGGCTCTGCCCCACCCTCCACAGTAGGCCTGGACCGTCTGCTCTGCGATCCCCCCGAGGACTGCCGCAGCGACGGCGGCAGCAGCAGCGGTGGTGGCAGCAGCAGCGCTGGGGAGCCTGGAGGCACCGAAAGCAACTCGTCCCCACGTGCCCCCGAGCGCGAAACCCTGGAGCCTGGAGACGCCGAGGGCCCTGATGGACACCTGGCGGCGAAACAGCGCCCGGTCGCCAGGTCGAAAATCAAGGTACTGTGCAGACTCTGCCCCCGCCGCCACCTGCACCACGCCCTGGCGTCGGGCTCCCCGGGCCCACGCCCCTCCCTGCCGCGCCCGCCCGCGCACCCGGGCATCGGTGCACTCAGCGCGTCTGCCGCGCAGTTCCTGCACCTGCCCCTGGGCCGAGGCCAGGGTGGCTCTGCGCGTCCTCCCACCAGCTGAGGAGCCGGCCGCCTGTGCCTCTGCGGCCCCAAAGCCAGCTCCCCGAACGGGAACAGTCTGCCAGGCGGCCTTTGGAACTATACCTGAAAGGCTCAGGCGCAGCTTCCTGTGTCTCCCATTCAGTGCGCAAGGCTCAAAGAATAGCCAGGCGGTCGGGGTTCCAGTGGTCGGAGGGACTCAGGCACCTGAACTTCACCCTCTAGGGCGCAGTTCCCAGAGCTACGTGATTTCTACATTTCACACTCTTTCGTTTAGAAGCGGCAGCTTGGCATACAGTGGACCTCTCATAATAGCGATTCTCAATGCTAATTATGGAGTGTCTGTTAGTGGGCACTTTAAATATGTCCTGTCTCTCAAATTTTCTTGAATTAAAATGATGGATAAATTAGTTCAACTGTAAATTGCCTCAGTTTCGCGTCCACAGTGAGTTGGAGTGTTTGGTCCCCTCTTTGATCGCTCTTCAGCCTACCTCCCCCCCCCCCCCCCCCCCGTCTTCTAGAATGTGGGCGACATCTTATCCAGACGCTCATCTGCACTTAAATGATTGCCTGCTCAAAGGTATCCGCTACCCACCTAGGTTAAGGAATCCCTTTCCACTCTCTCACAGCCAGCTGGAGTCAGTGGTATTTTAGGAATCACATGAACCCAGTACCTAGCAGGATGGGCCAGGATATGACTCTTTTCAGGCTTCTTAATTCTTGGACGTTCTCTCAATCCCACTGCCTAGGAGGGGATGAGGATAGGGAGGAGGAACCATAGTGTTTGCTACGGGTTGGGGAAGTTTACGTTACTTTTCCCGGGAGAGGCAAGCTCTCTCCTATGCATATTCCTGACTCCAGGGGCTTGTCTGGGCGGTGGGGGGCTGGGGAAGAAGATCCCTATCGTTTGCTGTGGATTAGAAAAGTCTCCATTATTTTTCCCAGGAGAGACCACCCCTCCCTTATGCATATTTCTGATTCCAAGCACCTGGGGCTTGGCTGGAGGTGGGCTGGGGTACATTTGGTTATGAATTGAGGCTAGAGGCCTGCCTTGGAATCCTTAGGAAAGACATCTTTAAAGGATGCTGCCGACTAGGGCATGCTGTGTAGTGGTAAGGGTTCTGCCAGGTTCCAAGTCATTTAGCCTGAAGCTTTTGTGGGCCAGATGGGGTTAAGTGGGAGGGCTCAGTTTGCCTGAGGCTGGTAGCTCTGCCCTCCAGGAAATTCTACAGTGTCCCACTTGCATATTTATCACCAGGGTGGAAGGACAATTGCAACGTTGTTTTGGAATGGATTGTAGACAGTTTGCCCCTGGATGCCCAGATTACCCTTGCAAGAAAGTAGCAGAGGAAAAGTATCCAGTCCCTTTACCAACATTTTAGGAGACTTTCTTTGTTGCCCCAGGCAAACAGCACCATTGGAGCCCTGGCTTCAGGGGATGAATGAACCAATTTTATTTCCATGATGGCTGCCTAGTGCTGCCCAGAAATGGGGGTGGAGCATAGAGTTTGCCCCTCAACTGTTAACATAGTTTCCGGAGGAGTGTTTGTTTACTGAGGACAGTCAGGTTCCTTCTCCCTCTCAGCTTCCACTCACAAATGGGAGACATCTTAACTTTAAGATGCTTTGAGACTCCAGAATTATTAGTTGTGTTAGTGGCCATTTTCAATTAACTGGCCAAATTGCTTGTGATTTAGCACATTGTACAACTCTAGAGTTCTATGCAAAGCATGCTGAACTCTCTAAGAATTTGTTTTTTAACCAGAAGTAAAAAGCCTCTCAAGGATGAGGCCCATGCATTTGTTTCAATGACTTAGTTTCAATGACTTAAAGACACTTGGCAATTAGCTGTTAGGATTGGAGGAAGGGCAAGCATGATCTGCTGTGTACCAGGCAGCCAGGATAAAAATTCTCCCACTCTGGTGTTCCAGAATCTTCTGACAGTAATGGTCAAGCCTTTAGGCTCTGGCTTTGTCACTTAGCTGTGTGATCTTGGGCAAATTGCGAATACCTCTATGCCTCAGTTTCCTTGTCTTTAAAATGGGGATAATGATACTTACAGAGTTGTGAGGATAAATGAGTTAAGAGTGGAAGATGCCCAGAACTTGAGCTAGAATTATTTGGTTGGTGGGGAAACTCAAATATTAATTATTAACTCTACGACAAGAATGTGACTGCTAACCCAGAAGCACAAGCAAAGATGTGATCAATTCTAAGCAGGAAAAGATTTCTTATCGTTGATTTGAGGCCTATGGAGAAGCGAAGAAGCAAGCTTTAGGGTGGTATGGACTCAGCACAAAACGTGAGTAAGGAGAGGGCTCAGCTCTACGTTGGCTGCAGGAGGGAAACTTGAAGTCAGAAAAAGTTGAAGGCGAGGGGCTGGAAATGTAGCTAGTACAGGTTGGGATGGTAAAGAGGGTAAGCCAAGAAGTGTGGAAGGTCCCTTGTGGTGGAGGAAGGGCTCTGGAAAGAAATTTTCAGTTGGGTCTGCATTATCAGCTGTGGTTGGGGATTTGTGACCTGTTCTGAGCCTCAGTTCCCTGATGTATAAAATGGAGAAATAATAGAATCATCCTCTTAGAAATGTTGCATAGGTTAAATGAGATAATGGGTACAAAATGTTTAGCACTTTTTGTGCACGTATAAACTGCCCCATAGGAAGTTAGCTGACAATGACATATGGCAGTATTTTGTTGCCTACAGAAGGGACAAGGGATTTGCTAATCTGATTGCATTGATCAGTGGATCTGGACAGGAGTCATAGGTGTCAGTTAAGTAAAGTGGTTTTTTTATCCCCAGCCTGGGTGTCTTTTGGCTGTGTGCCTTAGGATAGGTTATGAAATTCTCTTTGCTACTAAGGATACAAAACAGATTGGGGTGGGGAGATGATGTACTTCTGGGAAAGTGTTCATGCCAGAGTTTCAGGTCACTTTAAGTCCTATTTGTGCTGGACCCATTTGCAGGTCTTTAGCTGTGAGGTAGCGACACCCCTCCCTCAACCCCAGTCACCACTGTCCCTCCAAGACTTTTCAGAAACAAAGTAACTCTGAAGTTAAATCAGTTAATTGACTGGTGTTATTCATTCTTGACTCAGTGGCTGGTGGGACCCAGGTGCAAGTATGGACTAGGTAGTGAATGTCTTCTTACCCCATCTCATTCTTTTCTTTCTTCCTTTGGTTTCTCTCAAGGATACTTCAAAGAAATTGAGTTTAGAATTCCTTCAAAAATACTCTTGCCTGGCCAGTATGGCTCAGTGGTTGAGTATTGACCCATGCACCAAATGCTCGCCAGTTCGATTCTTGGTCAGGGCACATGCCCAGGTTGTGAGCCAAATCCCCCGTGGGGGGAGTGCAGGAGGCAGCCAATCAATGTCTCTCTCATCGATGTTTATATCTCTCTCTCTTGCTCTCTGTTCCTTTCTCTAAAATCAATAAAGAAAAAAAAAATTTTATTTTTTTTTATTCTCACCTAAGGACATTTTTCGATATTTTGTTCAGATAGAGGGGAGGGAGGGGGAGAGAGAGAGAGAGAGAGAGAGAGAGAGAGAGAGACATCAACGTGAAAGGAACACATCGAGAGGTTGCCACCCGCACGACCCAACCAGGGCTGGGGACAAACCGCAACTGAGGTACACGCCCTTAGCAGGAACCAAACCTGGGTCTCTCTGGACCGCAGGTCGATGCTCTAACCAATGAGCAACCAGCCAGGGCAAATTTTTTAAATAAAAATATAAAAGTATTCTTGGCCTTTTACCTGGTTCTGTAGCTCGAGTATTCCACTAGTGATGGGTGTGTAAGTGTGAAGTAGTCTTTTTCTTGTTCCATTATTTTTTATTATGGAGATTTTCAAAGGCAGAGTACCTGTCACCTGACTCCAACAACAGTGAACCAAACCCATGGCTAGTCCTGCCATAATAGATAAAGACCAAAATACATGATTATACTCACATTAACAATGGTGTTAGTATTGTTAATTATCTCATAAATTCGTACTTTGTTTTTTCAGTTTATTGAATCAGGTCCATATAATGTCCACACATTGTAATTGATATGCCTTTCAAGTCTTTTAATTTATATATGTTTTGTCCCTCTCTTTTTTAGTTAATTGTTGAAGAGAAGCCTAATTTGTTTTGTAGAGTCCAGCAAGCTTGATTTTGCAGAATGCATCACCATGGTGTCTAATGCTCATTACTCCCCTATGTTTTCTCAAAATGGTAGTTGGATCTCCAGCTGCACTGTCCAAAATGTTAGTCATGGTCACAGGTACCTACTTAAATTTAAATTAAGTAAAGTTAAGTAAAACTAAAAATTACATTCTTCAAGTGCTCAGTAGTCATGTGTGACTAGTGCCTACTGTATTTGACAGTGCAGATTAGAACATTTCTACCATCACAGAAACTTGTATTGGACGACATTGCTCTATATGCTTAATCAAGTTTATTTTAACTAAAATCTGTCACAGTAGGGTGTGTCTATTTCCATCAAGAAGTGCATAATGTTTGGTTGTCTCTTTGTGATATTAGCAGCCATTGATGCTCAAGGTCTAAATATTTTAGGTTTTTAGGGTTTGCAGAACAGTAATATTCTAATTCTGTCCCTTATTTATTAGCTGAAATTCTTCTATAGAGAGATACTTCCCCTGATGTTTCTCTCCCCCACCCCCTATCCCCCACCCCTCCACCCCCCCCACGCTATCAGAAGATAAATGGAGAAAATGTCCTCAGGTAAAGATTTAAAAAAACCATAAACATCTATTTAATATATTTTTTTTTAATTTTTATTTTTTTGTTACAGATGTTTCTTCTTTTTTACCCCATTGGCACCCCCCTCC